TAACATCATTTCAAATGGGTATTTTTTAAGAGTCCTATGGCCAGCCAGTTATCAGACTAGCAGGCATTTGAGCAAGTGTACAGATGAATTCCAGGGCCAGGGCAAACACACAGAGGTGTTCTATTTGGTGTTCACAATGTTTTTAAGCATTATTCTTCACTGCCAGCACTTAAAATGCCATTTCACATTTTTAAAAAAGAGACTTGAAGAACAAGGAGACCCCGAGACCCTGGGCTGCATTTAACAATAGCTGCCTGTCTGGCAACACAAGCCCCGTAGACTCACACGGAAAACAACTGTGCAGGTAGATAGCACCTTCTACCTTTACCTGAGGCACACAGTTAGCTCACACTACCTCTGGCCATGCCCTTTTATGTCACATCAAGGCAGATTCACCTTCCTCAGTACCTGCTTGGCCCCATGATCATCTGCTCTGGGTTTCATTCAAAGTAAACTGACTATAAAGTGGGTACCCTTCTATATCATGCTGAGGTGGCAGTTCCTTACATCAACCAGATACCCCCTGTATATCATCACTTCAGATTCTCCTACATGAGGTACCCTGAGTGGACCATACTATGTCTACAACCAAGATTTCCACTACAACGCTTAGCCTGTCCAGGTTCCTGAACTGAATGATAACATGACCTTAAGTCTTGTTCCCTCCCTTTTACTAGCAAAGAGACCCATGCTCCAAGTGTGCACTGATGGATCAGTGGAGCCAAACAGTGGCCTCAGAAGAAAGAAGACAGTCTCATCTCCTTACACAGATGACCAACTTTAACTTGTTTACCCTCATTTCCCTATGGTGTCAAAATTATGTAGCAGAACTAAATCTCATCAAGTCATCTACCTGGATGAAATCTCACTTCGTGATATTAACTGATGTCAGTAAGATTACCATGGAAGAACTGAAGATATACTAAACTGGTTACAGCTCTGTGTCTGCTCTGGCCTATAGCTCAATCATGTCCACTTTAGAGACAATGCAAGAACTACATAAATAATAGCTTTTTTTATCTAATAAAAAAAGTCACCATTGTTTTTCATTGTTGTTATTTTTGCCATATTCACTACTAGTAGGAAACATTTATATTTTGCTTCCAATCCAGTGGATACAACAATGTTTCTACTTATTTCTATGTGATACTATCAAGTTCCTAACTCCAGGATTTGAACTTTGCCATATACTATACATTCTGTAAAACTAACCCATTACAACATAAATTCAAACACATAAAACCATTTTCAAGTAATTTTCAGTGTTTTCCTTCCTTAAAATACAATATTCTTAATTACTGAGCACTTTTTATTCAGATGTTTACAATTTCTAATACAAAATTACAACCTCTTCCTTATTTCATCTTGGAATAAGTTTTCTCCCAATCCCAAGCCCCTCAAAAACCCAATGAAATAGAAAAAAAAAAAAGTTTTCCTGGCACAGAATTACTAGGTTCGGTAATTCTCAGGACAAAAGTAAAAGAATACACATAAGTCAGTTTTCACCATGTCCTAAGAGAATGAAGAGGAGCACTGTGTAATAACAAGCTCTTGTGTAAGACAAAGTACAGTCATCCTCTGGTATTCATGGAGATTGGTTCCAGAAGCCCCCAATCTAATGGACATCAAAACTTGCAGACGTTCAAGCTCCTTACCTAAAATGGCACAATATTCATATATAACCTATACACACCCCTACATTTTTTAAAACTATCTCTAGTTAACTGCAGTAAGTACTACAATGTAGATACTGTGTAAAAAGTTGTTACTGTATCTTGTTTAGAGAATAATGACAAAGGAAAAAAGGTTGTACAGGGCAACTTTTCCCCAAATATCCTTAGGCTGCAATGGGCTGCATTCATAATATGGAACCCAAAAATACTTTGTGACACTACACAATTCTGAAATTGTGTAGTGAGTATTTTTATCATTTCAGCAATGTCCTCTTTACTGCAGGACACAATTTCTCCCCACAAACACAGTGGTCAAGAGGCTCAGAGTGTGCAATGGATCCCAAGTAGAACAGGCATGGGAAGGTTCGCCTAAGCCTAACCCACAGGCTAGCAAGTACTGGGTCTGCTTCCTGCTGCATGGACCAAGCAAGATTTGTCTGTTTCCCATTTTGTTTAAAGAAGTGCATGTGGAATTTTTACCACCCACAAATAAAAAATCCTAATAAATACAGAAACATTTTTCTACTGACTTAAGTGTTTAGGCAAATCATTTAATCCTTTGAGCTATCTCAACAAAAAATAAAAATCAAATACCAGCATCAGAATCTATTTTTAAAATAAATTCATATTTTAATCATTTATTCTTAAATTACAATAAGTAAAATCATATCATGATTACTTAATGGTCTTCACATTCTAACATCAAAAAAGTCTATGGATGGGTGAAACAGCTACACTTGGTGAAAGGAACTTAGAAGCAAATGATGGCTTCATTCTCAAATAACAAAACCTGTCTATAACAAATCAACAGGGTATATAGTCAAACTATGCTATCACAGTATTTTTATATTCTGCTGTGCCTTTAAAAGGCTTGAGATGATGAAGCTACCTTGATGATGATGGAGAAGTACCCTACCCCTAAGAAATGGGGAGTTTATTTTATTTTTAGGTTTAAGACTATGGACTGTAGGCCTAGTAATTAGACAAGCACCATCCATGTGGAAACAATCTGTAAAGTGGTTGCCAATGCAAATTCCTTCTGAAAAGCACAGCTAAACGTTCCAAGGTCACCGTGCAACATTGTTACCAACTGTTAAAAACTGAACAGAATTTTGCACTGTTGCTGCTACGTTGGTTGGGTTATTTATTTTTACTTTTTAATTGTTGATCTGCTTACAAGCCATTTATCCCTTTTTGTCCCTCCTGATTTACTCTCTGCATGCACAAGGGTCCAGAACATATTAATGTTGCAACTTGGGCATTCCATCTACAGAAGATGAATCATTTCACAGTAAAGCAATGTGCAGGTGAGGGGTGGAGAGTGGAGGGTAGGGGGACTTTGCCATTTTAGCAAATAGGTTCCATCTTTCAATTGGCTCATAAGCAAAGCCAAGGGCACAATATAAAACAAGAGCTTTTTAAACAGAAAGAATAGGAATTTGTTATGGAAGAGAAATGAATTAGGTAGGCGATGAGCGAACAAGCATTTTTTTCCTTGGAGTCTTAAAAATACAAGCACAGTCAACACCAATTTCGAACAAACAGGAAGACTAATGAAACCAATAAGGCCCAATAAGTCAAAACAAAAATACTACAACTATAAATTATGGATTATGACGATTATACCAATATTGCCTTCTCATTTACTATCAAACTTCATTTAAAATGAACTGAGTTTTAACTAGAACAGATGGAGATCACCACATATGAGTTGCAGGATTTCTAAGGAGACCACTTACTATTCTAATAGAGCATAATAATTACTGAAACCAAATTAATTATGCTTTATAACCACAAATGAAATATGTACATTTCCTACAACACGGGTGTAGAGAAGCTGAAGCAAATTGCTGACTCACATTCCCAACCAGAACTACACAACTGCTGGGAGTTTGGGAAAACTAGGCAACTGGAAACTAACAACGAAAGTTTAATGATGCACAAAAATCCCATGCTTTACTACAGGAAAAAGTTTCCACCTTAGTAGTCAGTTTTAAAAATCGTTCCCTACGGATACAGCTAGAACTCTACTATACCATGCTTCCAACGACGACGAAGATGACTAACATTAGTTACTGCCTATTCCAGTTCAGAGGGGAACTTGCACCAGGATTCTGACTGCTTTCCAGACAATCATAAACACTCCTAACTCTCTGAACAATATCAATTTAAGATGGTAAAAATTTTCCTTACATGAAATCAAAACTAAATAATCGCAAGTAGAAATACAAGCTGAGGCAGCGGACAAAATCTTAAGTCATAATCAAAACCCTAACTGTGGTGCTCTCAGGCCTGTGTCTAATGGCTTTGTCCTCAGTCTGTCCCCTGGTCTACTTAGCTTCTGTCCCATAACCTAGTCAAGAGGCATCCGTTTCTCAGGAGCTAAGCATCTACAGACTCTCCCCAAGGCAGCTGCTGCCCAGGAGATCTCATGCCTGGATCACATTTTAAAGAATGTCACAGACTCTAGTCCAATTGGATCCTGGGTCTCTACAGGTCAGCCCTCTATTGAACAAGCCTGAGTTCCAACAGCTGATGTAAAGAATTTATATTAGATAATTTCTATTGTAGTCTCTCATCCTGATGATATTACGAAAGAGATTTCACCCCAAAGCTTAATTTATTAATGCTAATTTTGTCTCACAAAAAACAATTCACTTCTAAAGTCTCATACGTTAGCCTTTCAGTAACAAAATAGTTCAACAGACTTTCCCAATAGAGTAATTCAAAAGAGAGCATTATGCTCAGTGAAAACAGACCAATCCCAAAAAGACAAATGTCATATGTTCTCTCTATGTAAGGCAACCTCCATGCAAAATATAAGATAAGCAGATACACAGGTGGACATGTATATACATATATTCTCATACATGAACTACAAAATGGAGACTAGAATATCAGGAAGAGAAAATATGTTGCTATATGCATCTCTACTCCTGAATAAAAGTAGAACTTCCAATGAAATTATTAAATGTACCTTGACAAAAGAATAATAAACTACTTAGTATTGTCTCTAGCTACAATGCCATGATACACTAAATGGCAAGAATGTTGAACTTGTGATTGTTGCTGAAGGACTATACAACTGTAAAGGGGAAAACAGTGGTGAGACGGGGGAGAATGGAGTTGAGGCGGGATCCCTGTGCCTATGGAATTATATCATTAAAAAATAATAATAATCTTTAAAATACATCTTCATTCAATAAATGGTTTTAGTTGAACTCATTGTATGAGGGAAAGGCTTACAAACCAGTCATAAAAATACTGAGTTAAATAATTGTTTGAAAATTCATTTGTATTCTCATACTGATAATCATATACTGTTACCTTGAGAAGGTATGTAGGGATATTGCTGAAATCCACCGGCAACTTTAAAAGGAAACGTGCTGAAAATTCACCAGTCTGTGGAAAAAAACATATAATAATAAGATTAAAATCAGAAATAGATTTGAGAAGTGACAATTATAGCCAAGGCCACAAGTTCAACCTGTTAAAAATGCAAGCATCTTCAATTTGAGCTTCATACCATGAGGTAGGAAAAGAAGGTTAGGAAAATAGATGAGAATAAAAAGAATTCTTAAATTATTCATTACTAAAAAATACAATTCAAATTTTTTAAATCTGCATTTTAAATGTGCAACAAAATTGAAACTCAGTAGTATTACATTTTTGAATTTCTTAAAATATGAAAATAGATGAATGTATATTATTTTTTGAAAATTAAGCAACAGGAACCTATCTACCCCTCTTATTAATTTGTTTTTACTAAAGTAATCAAACCACTACACTAACATTTACAACTCACACATAACTCCATCTCATATGTGCGTTTGAAAATAAACACAAAGGCCAAATTCTATCCTTTGAAGTGGCACAAAAGCGGAAAGCCCAAGTGAATTTTCATTTCCTGACAATCCATAACATCATCATCTTCAAACCATACTTTTCATCAATCTACCTTATGAACTAATTTCGATAGGAATGATATACAGAAGCTTGGCATTTTGAAACATTTAACTAAGCTCTGAATAACAGCTCTTAACTTCTAAAAGAGAAAACTCATGCAAAAAAACAAGTTTCTCTTAATTCTTATAAGAGATAGGGAGTCACATTTTAAAAATAATAATTTTGAAACTCTCTATAGGAAAGGTTTTCCAATCTGGCCATGCAAAAACGTCAGGGGTCCTGAGGACTAGCACAAAGGGAGCAAAGTCGTGTGCTGAGCTGGTGGGCCCTGGATCTTCCACTCTCTCACTGTGACTGTGCAGTCTGCCAGGTGGGCTGTAAAGTGACACCTAGGAATGAAGAGTGCCAGGGATGATCTAAAACAGTCCAAGGTGCTTCAAAACATTTGGGGGGAGTGGAATCTAAAGTAAAATTTACTTTGGAGAAAAAGCATTTTGAAATCCATGTATAGTTTTGTTCTTCCATTATATACATCTTTCATGATCTTTCTGATGATTCCTCATATGCATAGATTTCAAAATTTGGGACTCCATAATAAACTTTGGGTCCTGTTTCCCCACACTGTGTAAAATACCCTTGCAGATCTCTATCCTTTTCAGAGTGTGACTGCTATAGAGCACCTAATTTCTTCACTACCTTCTCCCTTAGAAATGAGCACTGCAAACTCTCAAAACACATCTTTGAACACAGCAAGCACTGACAAGCATTTTCATGGAGCAGGGTGAATACACACACCAGCACGGAAGCCTCTCATGGACAAGTCCACAGCTCTTACCATGCTCCATTAAAACAAACAAACAAACAAAAAAAGCCCTGGTGCTGATTACAAGAGTCTAGGCCCAAATTTTAAAGCTCAATCGCAACATCTCAGATGTGTAGACATAAGTGCAGAAGCATTAACCTTGAGCTCAGAAGATGAATAACAATGACACTGAAATCTGCCAGTGATTTTGCTGTTGGTTTCAACACTTGCATCTTTTAACAGATATCAGCCTCTGGCATTGCTTCATTGCCACAAGCCTAACCCTGTAACTGAAAAGGTAAAAATCAGAACTGCTTTTTCAGAATCACAGCCACCTAAAGATCCACAACAGCTCATCATAGCAGTTGGCAGAAGGTCTGCATTAAATCTAACATAGTTCTTGCCAGTCCAAGGTTAAGAGTATACTGTTAAGAGTATAGTTCTGGGGCCCAGAGTGATAGCGCAGTGGTTAAGGTCCTCGTCTTGCACACCTGGGATCCCAGATGGGCTCTTGTTCTAATCCCGGCAGTCCCACTTCCCATCCAGCTCCCTGTCTGTGACCTGGGATAACAGTCAAGGATGGCCCAAAGCCTTGGGACTCTGCATCCGGGTGGGAGACCTGGAAGAAGCTCCTGGTTGCTGGCTCCTGGCTTTGGAATGGCTCAGCTCCAGCTATTGCAGCAACTTGGGGAGTGAAGCATCAGACGGAAGATCTTCCTCTGTGTCTCTCCTCTTCTCTGTATATCTGACTTTCCAATTAAAAAAAGAAAAAGAGAGTGTAGTTCTGATGTTATATTAACCTGCTAAGACTGACATACTGGTTTAAGCGTGGTTCTTTGAATCAAAAGTAGACCTAAAAGGCTGTGTATAAGTCATACTCTAAGAGGAAGCAGAGAGGCAAAATACAGTAGCTTTGGAGTTAGATGGGAGTTTGAAGCGAGCGCCTTGCCAGTTTGAGGGTTTAGGAAAGCAGTTTTTCTTTAAAGCAGTAAACAGTGCTACAGGAGAACATCAGAGAATCCAGGTTCACACCAACTGTCCCCAGTCTCTTCTTCCTCCTATATGATCAACTGTTTTCTCACACTCATTAACATGCATTTTTTAAAAAGTCTTTCCTGACTTCATATCATTCTTCAGCTTCCATCTCATTTCTCTATTCTACTTTACAAAACTATCTTCTGTAAAAACCTACTCTGTGAGTCTACACCTCCTCTTTTATTTTCATGCACTCTGTTCTGCCAGACTTTAATCTCCCCAACTCCAGAACAGCTCATCAAGATCATCAACAGGACCCAGTGCGATAGCGTAGTAGTTAAGGTCCCCGCCTTGAATGTGCTGGAATCCCACCTTTCCAATAAAAATAAATAAATCTTAAAAAAAATATTATCAACAACCTCCTCATTGAAAAATATGATGATCCTGTCTTTGTCTTGGTGTTCTCTCAGCAGTATTTGACATGGTTGATTACTCTTTTTCTGAAACATTCTTTACCTGGTTTGCAGGGTATTCTCTATCCAAGAGTCCCTCCCTCTAACCTTCTCAACCTCTGAACACTGGAGTGCCTTCAGGTTTACCTCCAAGGCCTCTCATCTTTATCTATATTCCAGGCTCCTACCCAAATCTTCCTTGTCTTAACTCAAGCTGCATTCTTCCAAGTACCATGAATAAAATCAAATCCCTTCTTTGAGCTCTTCCCTTGCTATTTAGTTTACATTGAAGTAAATGGCAATTCCATTCCTTCAGTCTCTCACTTCAAATAATCCCTTCTACTATCTTTCTCTCTCATTCAACTCAAGGCAAGAGTAAATCCTTTTGATTTTGCCTTCAAAGTATCTTAAGGAGGGGCTAGTGTTAGGCTAAGCAGTTGCATGGGATGCCAGCATGCCATAGCAGAATACATGTTTGGGGTTCAGCTGCTCAGCTTCAGTCCAGCTCCCTGCTAAAGCATTTGGTGAGGTAGCAAGAGACAGCTCAAGTATGAAAACCTTTTCCAATCATGAGAATCCAGATGGAGCTCCTGAGTTCTTTATCCAGTCTGGCCTGGGCCCCCGCCACTGGTGATATTTGAGGAGTGAACCAGAAGATGGAAGATATCTTCCCCACTCCCTCTCTGTCACTCTGCCTTTCAAATAAACTCATCTACAACAAATAATATAGCCTGAGCCCAACCACTTCTCACCAGCTCCAGCACCATCTGATCGGAGCCACACTGTATGGAGAGTAGGCAACTGCAATTGTCCCTCATGGCTTCAGCCCTAGCTCACTGGCAAGCAAACTCGGTGGGGATTTTGCTCATTTACACAAGAATCTGACAAGGTAGCAACTGAACAAAGATGATAAAAAAGGTGAGAAAGTAAAATAGCACAGGCAAAGGGAACGGAAACTGAAAAAGGATTTCCACAGGAGGGTTCCTACATCTTCAAGGAACTGCAAGCGAATCAGTGTTACAGGAGCCACTGAGTACCAAAAACTGGTAACCTGGAAACTCTCTTCTCCACAGCATGAATTATTTCTAAACTGTTGCAGAGTGTACAGCAGTCATCAATAAAATTAGTTAATACCACAACAACTACTGCAAGCATTCAGAGCATTAAGTCACTCCTAGGGATGTTGAAAGAGGACTTTAAAAAAGCATCCGGGCTTCAAAGAAGTTAGGGAATGGAACTAGAGAGAATATGATAAATCAAACTCAATTAACTTTTTTATTTTCAATTTGTAGTGGCAAACTGCTAAGCAACAAAGAAACAGCCATTTCTACACAGCAATGTGCAATTACAATTTCAAAACTTTCAGTATGCTAAACTCAATAGGTCTTATATGTACTCAAAAAGACTGGAAAACAAAGCAAAAGAAATGCAGAATTAAAAAAAAATAAAAGAACTCTTCTACAAATAAGGTAATAGGACAGATAATTACATATTTTGCACTTGGACTCATCTGAACTGATACTTATTTTAGTCTGTGCACTGCATTTTAGCTCTTTTCTCTATTTCAGTTTGTCCAATATATTTTTATTCTACCAGCTATTTTAGACCCACATTCTTTTTTTTTTTTTTAAGATTTATTTTACTTTTATTGGAAAGGTGGATACACAGAGAGGAGAGACAGAGAGGAAGATCTTCCGTCCGATGATTCACTCCCCAAGTGAGCGCAACGGCAGATACTATGCCAGTCTGAAGCCAGGAGCCTCTTCTGGGTCTCCCACGCGGGTGCAGGGTCCCAAAGCTTTGGGCCGTCCTCGACTGCTTTCCTGGGCCAGAAGCAAGGAGCTGGATGGGAACCGGCGCCCATATGGGATCCCGGGCGTGCAAGGCAAGGACCTTAACCACTGCACCATCACGCCAGGCCCAGACCCACATTCTTTTAAAACCCTCCAATGATCCCTACTTTATCCCTTCTCAGAATGTTGATCCTAGAACTAACATAAATGTGTGTTTATTGGCAACAGACCGATTTATACAACTAAAGTCATAATAAAAGAAATGTTGGTCCCAGGACTAACATAAATGTATGTTTATCAGCAACAGGCTGATCGACACAACTAAAATAAACGTAAAGCAATGAAGGGAAGTTCTACCAGAATCCACGAGGAGCACTTCATAGCTGCTCCCAGCTTTCTAGCCTACCATACATTCTTCACTTTGCATTGAAATAAGAAAGAAAACAGAGAACAAGCTTCCAACAGCACTGGAAA